CTGTAAGTCCACTTCTGAGTGTTTGCCTGAAGAAGACAGAAACACTAACTCAGAAAGATACCTGTGCCCCTGTGTTTATTGCAGCATTATTGACAGTGGCCAAGATAGGGAAGCAGCCGAAATGTGTGTTGATAGATGAATGGATAAAGATGTAGATGACATGTATTTGTCACGTACATGTGTACACACACACACACACACACACACAGGACTATTACTCAGCCATAAAGAGGATGAAATCGTACTGTTTGCCTCAATATGGATGGACCTGGAGGTTATTATGCTAAGTGCAATAAGTCAGAAGACAAATACCATGTGATTTCACTTATGTTAGACTCAGAACAAAAACAAATGGTTTTCAGACAAGACAAAATAAAGGGAAATGGAGCTCACATATAGGTATAAAGAGCATTACTGATGGTTGCCATGGGGGGGGTTGAGGATTGATGAACAGGGGAAGGGGATTAAAGGTACAGGCTTACAGTCATAAATAAAGATGTCGTTGATATATGCTCTTCGTGGTTAATAATGTGTAAATAACCACTGTACAGCATGATGACAATTGTGGTAACTGGTTATAATTGGTGATCACTTCTTTTTTTTTTTATTTTTTAATTTTTTTTCAACGTTTATTTATTTTGGGACAAGAAGACAAACGGCATGAACGGGGAGGGGAGGAGACATAAATGAAGATAAAGGCTCCAGGCTCTGAGCCCATCAACCAGAAACCTAATGGCGGGGCTGTTCCTCCTGACGGACCCAGCGAATCGTGACGACAACCTGGCTGAAGCGGACGCTTAACCGGCTTCGCCACCCAGACCCCTGGTGATCCACTTCTTAATGTGTTTAAATGTTGAATCACTATGTTATACACCTGAAACTAACAATATTGTATGTCAACTGCACTTAGTGGAAAAGAATAATCAGTTGGTGCGTTTTGTCAGTCAAATTGGCTTTTTATCTTCTATGGCATAACAACGATATTTGAAGTCTTTTTTTCTGATTGTTGGGGTTTCTGTTCTGAGGCCTGTCAACATGCGTGCGTAAAGGAAAACATAGGCGCTGTCGCTTGATGGCGATCCTTACAGCCTCGCGACTAAGCTGCTTGCAGTGGTGTGTGATCTTTGGCTCCCTTATCTTGTGTATGTGGGTCCTCATGCGGTCTTTTTTTCGTTGATGGATGACAACATTCCCATGCTGTGAGGAGAAGCAGAGGCACAGAGACATTAAGTTGATGACCCCCAACTCACATAACTGTGAGCGTGGGCGACATTCCAGTGCAGAGCTTGATTCAGACTTTTTTGGCCACTGTGTGATACCTTAGTATGCTGTATTGTAGCAAAAATATTTTCCTTAAAAAGCAAGTTTTTGTTTGGTAAATTGCTTGGGGCTTTTAGGTTTTGCCAAGTGAAATTATTTTTTTCTTCTTTTTTTAGTTTAATTTTGAGAAGCATGAGCAGGAGGCAGAGAGAGAGGGGAGGGAGGAAGGGGAGAGGGGCATCTCAGGCAGCTCTGTGTTGTCAGCATGACTCAATTCAGGGGCCCATCTGAACGTGACGACATTATGACTGGTGAAAACCAACAGTGGCACTTAGCACGGCTAGAGCCACCCAGAGTGCCCCGGTTGTGGACATAAAGAGGATGAAATCGTACTGTTTGCCTCAATATGGATGGACCTGGAGGTTATTATGCTAAGTGCAATAAGTCAGAGAAAGACAAATACCATGTGATTTCACTTATATGTGGAATCTCAAGAACCAAGCAAATGAACAGACAAGACAAAATAGAAATAGACTCATAGGTATAAGAACGTACTGATGGTTGCCATGGGGGGGGGGTTGAGAGTTGATGAAAACAGGGGAAGGGGATTAAAGGTACAGGCTTACAGTCATAAATAAGATGGGTGATGTAGTACGTAGTTAATAATGTGTAAGTAACCACTTTGTATGATGACAGGTGGTAGCGGGATTTATAGTGGTGATCACTTCTTAATGTGTTTAAATGTTGAATCACTATGTTATACACCTGAAACTAACAATATTGTATGTCAACTGCACTTGAGTAGGAAAAGATAATCAGTTAACGTTTGTCAGTCAAGAGTGGCTTTATCTTCTATGGCATAACAACTTGATATTTGAAGTCTTTTTTTCTGATTTGTTGTTGAGGGTTTCTGTTCTGAGGCCTGTCCTTCCTATGCATTCGTAAAGGGAAAACATAGACGCTGTCCTTGATGACGATCCTTACAGCCTCCCGCGACTACGCTGCTTTGTGTGGTCTTTTGGCTCCTTATCTTGTGTGGTCCTCATCACGGTGCGTTGATGGATGACATTCCCATGTAATGAAGGAGAAACTGAGGCACAGAGACATTAAGTTGATGGCCCCAGCTCACATAACTGTCGAGACGTGGGCCGGCATTCCAGTGCAGGCTTGATTTCAGACTTTTTGGCCACTGTGCTGACCACCTTCAGTATAATTGTAGCAAAAATATTTTCCTTAAAAAATAGGATTTTGTTTGGTAAATTTGGGGCTTTAGGTTTACTTAGTGAAATTATTTTTTTCTTCTTTTTTTTTAAAGTTTAATTTTAGAGAGCATGAGCAGGGGAGAGGCAGAGAGAGAGAGAGAGAGAGGGAGGGAGGGAAGGGGAGAGGGAGCATCTCAGGCAAGCTCTGTGTTGTCAGCATGAAGCTCAATTCAGGGCCCCATCCTATGAACCGTGACATTATGACCTGAGTCGAAACCAACAGTCGGCACTTAACGACTGAGCCACCCAGGTGCCCCAGTTGTAGGATATACAGACTAAAATTCTTTATTTAGACCAAATTTTATTGTAAATTTCATACTTACTACCTTAAGGTTTTCGTAGTTTGGTACTGTACTCTTTGTTTCCAAAGTTAGGGTCTCAGCTTGCAATGAGAAATCATTAACCGGCATGTTATTCTGGAAGACCGACCAGGGCGGTATTCCTAAAAATCCAGAAGCTTTTATTAAAGCCTATCTGCAGAGTGCATTCTTTGCTGCTTACTTGGGCACACATTGTAGCTTGTCTGGGGGCAGTGGTTGTGGGCTCGTCTGGGTTACTCATTAGCTACCAGAGCTCGTGAGTCCACGCTGGGCACTGCCTGTTACAAGTTCAGGGTTGTCAGGGGCTGAGCAACCTGCTGAACATAGAGGCAGCGCCAGGAGGCGAAGACCAGCCGCTCTTCCCGTGGAACAAAGATCAAACTACAAGCCCAGTGAGGCGTTTCCCTCCAGGCCAATTACCCTAGTTGACAGTTTTCCCTTTCAAAACTGGTTTCTGAGGTCAGGGTGGGCCGTAAACCTCTCCCCAAGCCCGCAAGGCGAATTCTTCATCTAAAAAGAGAAGGGTTTTTGCTAGGTTTGCTCCCCGCTATGTGGGGTGGCTTGGTTGTCGGTGGGGCCCCCACCTGTCTGGAGAGAAGTACAGTATGAATGAGCGTGAACTAGCCTTTGCCAGGAAAGCCCCTGACGGACCCCAGTGGACAGGGTGCTGCGCAGTGTCCTCCCCTCATGGGGACTGAGGGATGGACAGTGCACAGTGGAAGAGGCCGCCAGGACACTTTGGTAAGTTCAGGACATAAATGTTGGTTTGGATGTATGAATCTGCGTGTGGGTTATCAGTCACCCACAGTTACACTCGATTTTCTTTAAAACCTCGGACAGGCACGTTAGAACCCGGTGCAGCAGAGGGCGTTCCCCTTCGGCGTTTGAAGGGTTAACACTCAGGGCTAGCCTCGTTCAGCTGAGTGAAAGCATCCAGCTAAGGGCTAGTGTTTGTGGGCTCACGTGCCAGGCGCTGTTGTCAGGGCTCCTTGTATTCCTTGCTGCCTGCGGTGGCGTCTCTGCTGGGAGACGGGGGCACCGAGGCGTTGGTGAATCGGCGGTGCAGCTTGGACCTGAGCCCAGGGAGGCTCCCGCGCCAGGCCTTGCACCGTGTGTGTGTGTGTGTGTGGCTAACTACCATAGCAAAGCATGGCATGTGTATGTATACCCATGTATGTCTGGGCACTGTCTCATGAGCTCCCCTTTCTGGGAGTCCCCAGGGGGGTTCACCTGCCCCTCCGCTCGAGAGGGAACCCCAGTCATCCTGCAGCCTCAGCAACACATGTCTGTGTTGGTCGCCACTTGGCCTGTAGTAGATAATGCTTGGCCTGAGCTATTGAGACGGGAGAAAATCAGCTGGGAACAGTGACAAGAAGGGCCCAGGAGACCAGGGTCACTGTGGCAGTAGAGACAAGGGGGCACCTAACCTTGTTATTTTAAGGGTGGGGAATATGAAGAAGGTGGCACACTTGCTGCTTAGATTAGAGAAAGTGGAGGTGGAGAGGAAGAAGAGATGCAGAGACTAAAGGGTAGGAAGGAAGAAGAGGAGCCTGGCGCTGGTAGGGGAGCTCCACCAGATGGTCTCCTTAGGCCCTTGCCAGAGAGAGGACGATGGAGCAGTGACAGGATCTTATGCTGAGTGGCACATCGTGCGTTAGGGGAGCATGGATGGCATCACTGCTCCTCAGAAGAGCCCAGGTTTCGTGCAGGAGGCTGAATCCAGATGCATCAGAAGGAGGACCCCAGATCAGAACTTGAACATTTCTGGAGTTAAGGGATCCAGTGTCTCACAAGGCAGTTTACTCCTATTTTCTCCTTTTTGTTGTAAAATAAAACACAGACCTATGTTTGGAAATTAATGAGTTATGATAAAGCAAACACCCTTGTGACTTCCACCCGGGTGATGACCCCAGAAGCCCTTCTGCTTGCCCCATCCCATTGATCCCCCCTCCAAACCTCCTGTCCTCATTGGGTTCCTTTGTGTCCTTTACAGTTTTCTCCCACCGGGATGCATCCTGAACATTCTGGTGTGGGCTTGCCCATTTCTAAACATTTCCTGTTCTTTAATCTTTATTCCTTTCTTTTCCTTACAACAGTCTGCTGAAGACCCGGGACATTTAAGGGATGTTAAGTTGTGGAGGTCCTAGTGTGTTTCACCATGTTCTTGGCCATCTGCCAGCTGGGTGTGGAGGCTGAGTCGCATATAGTCGACACCTTGGCAAGACTGGAGGTGAAGCTCTGCTGTTGCCTGTGGGGCTTGTGTGGTGTCCATCTGACCCCTTGTGATGCTGTTAGCTGCTCGGTTCCCGCCGTTCTGTGGGGGGAGGGGCCAAATGGTGATATTCTCATTCTCACTGACTTGTGAGGATCCTTTTATGAAGAGACTGTTCTCAGTTACGCTGGGGGATGGTTCCCGTGGAAGAGGCAGGGTAGGTGCTCAGTTCTTTCCCCTTGTCTATCAGGTTTCTTTATTAAAAAAAAACTTGTTTTTAATTTTAATTTTTTGAAATTTATATCCAAGGTAGTTAGTATATAGTGAAGCAATGATTTCAGTAGATTCCTTAATGCCCCTGACCCATTTAGCCCATCCCCCCTCCCACACCCCCTCCAGCAACCCTCCATTTGTTCTCCATATTTATGAGTCTCTTCTCTTTTGTCCCCCTCCCTGTTTTTATATTCTTTTTGTTTTCCTTCCCTTACGTTCATCTGTTTTGTGTCTTAAAGTCCTCATATGAGTGAGGTCATATGATATTTGTCTTTCTCTGACTGACTGATTTCACTTAGCATAATACCCTCCAGTTCCATCCACGTAGTTGCAAATGACAAGATTTCATTCTTTTTGGTTGCCGAGTAGCACTCTATTGTCTGTATATCCCACATCTTCTTTATCCATTCATCCGTGGATGGACGTTTGGGCTCTTTCCATACTTAGGCTATTGTCGATAGTGCTGCTATAAACATTGGGGTGCACGTGTCCCTTCAAAGCAGCACACCTCTCTCCCGTGGATAAATGCCTCGTAGTGCAATTGCTGGGTCGTAGGGTAGTTCTGTTTTTAACTTTTTGAGGAACCTCCATGCTGTTTTCCAGAGTGGCTGTACCAGCTTGCATTCCCATTAAAATGTTTTAATGTTTATTTATATTTGAGAGAGAATAGGGGAGTGTGAACAGGGGAGGGGCAGAGAGAGAGGGAGACCCAGAATCCGAAGCAGGCTCCAAGCTCCGAGCTGTCAGCACAGAGCCAGATGTGGGGCTCGAACCCACGAACTGCAAGGTCATGACCTGAGCTGAGGTTGGATGCTCAACTGACTGAGCCCCTCAGACGCCCCTATTACCAGTCCTCAAGTCAATTTGTTCCTTAGTATCCTCTCAAGGTGACTAGGTGGTTTTTAAAATGTAATTTTGAACTCATGGATTTCAATGTCTTTGTGAATTTTGACCATTGCACTTTTTATCCTCTTGGAAGCTCAGGCTGTTGCCACCTTTGACTGATGGAGTCTCTTCATTTGGGTGCCGTTTCTGACCTGGCCCTGGTGGCCCGTGGTCTTTGAGAGTCCTGTGAGGGCTGGGCTGGTCTTGGGCCTCTCCCCGTCGTGGGGCCAGCGGTTCCACCAAGAAGCCTGGATTCCTGTAGTGGGAACTGATGCTCCCCGATGCGGGTGTGGGGTGCTCACGGCGGCCAGGCGTCGTCGCGCTCAGTAAGCCTCCTCCTCTAGGAGGTACACGCACGCGTCTTGAAGGGAGAGTGCCACATGTGGTCCCGTGGACTCCAGCCGAGGTCAGGGCGGCTGGGGTTTTCTCCGGAGCCTCGTCCACACCTGGAGTCTCAGGGACTGGGGACGACTAGGTAGACGGCCCCCGGCTCACCTGTGAACCTTCTGCCGGCTGTGCCCCCGCCC